AGAAGAAAATATAGTTAGTGTTTTGATAATTTTGTTAGGAAAATGTCGTGCAGGTAGTTCGTTCCTGGTCGGTAAAATGTCCAATTTCAGCGCGGTTCTTGTTCTCTCTGTCTCAGAGCTCTCTTTCTCTTTCTCTCTATGACAAGAATACTATATACTAATGATAAACAGCTCCAAAAACGACCCTGTTCGGCGTGAAGCTTCCCTGCGCGGCCCGACCGGCGTATTAGTGACCGATCGAACTACCGCGAGAATGGTTACTCGCAGTTCAACCGCGGCTGGCTGGATTGAGCGTCCAGGAAAGCGTCAGTAAGCAACCAGTCGTGATCACGAACACTATGACCTCATGGCGAGACTAGAATAATGGCAACCAAATGGACTGGCATAGTGCCCTGCTTCTTTTTTGCAGTTTGGAACAAACATGAGGGTGAGTAAATGGCACGATGTTTATTTTAAGGATTTGTTTTGTTAAAAAAAAAAAAAAAAAAACATAACTACGACATAGTAGGGTAGAGTGGGGGAAAACGCCCCCCTTAAGGAAAATGTGACATTACTGTGAAACAAAACATAAATGTGACTAGAATTGCCATCCCAGTTTTGAGTGACTATGGCAGGAGAATATTACTAAATATTAAAATTGCTCAACCTGCATAATTATATATATTTTTTGACTGAAAATATTTTTGTACAAAGGGGGCGTTTTGCCCCAGCGGTGGGGTAAAACGCCCCCCAAGGTGGGGTAAAACGCCCCCTTTCTTACCAACCAGTTTGCTTCATAGATCAACAGCAAAATAAACATAGTTTTTAATCTCTAAAAGTAAAAGGCAAGTAATACAACAACATGTACCTATTAATATTTATTTCAGGAATGTACAAAATAGCCAAATTTCTAACATTTTAATATTTTGATTTCTACACTAGGCCTATATGGGGTTGATAATTGATGTAGTATTTGTTCACCACTATCATCAAGAAAAACAGAAAACCCTAAATAAATATTAAACATAAGTTAGTATATTTAAAGTGAAATATATTCAATAAATGCTCTAAAAGTCACTATATTTTATCATTGGGTCACCTAACCACCTTCCATCATTGCATCCACCAAGCTAGCTAGCTAATGCTCACTTGAGGTAATTTTATCATGTTTTGTTAAAATATTTTGATTTTATCGCCTAGTTATACTGCATTAAAGTGTAAAATAAAGACTTTGATAAACAGAAATATGTTACTATAGTAATTATGATAAAGAGAAACTATGCCCCTTGGGGGGCGTTTTACCCCTCAGCATAGGGGGCGTTTTACCCCACAAGCTATGTTTTTTTTTTAATTGTTTATTTTTAAAAATATAATTATAGTCCTTATAAATAACATATGCTCTCAAACTACAGACTTCACTATTCATCTATCATACATTACTGTGATATCACTGTGAACAATATTCTATTAAACACTTGTTTACTAATATCTGAACATTATAGCATTTTCCATGTAATCCTCTTCTCTTCAAATACGTCGCTGGTGTCAGCTTCTCCATGGAGATTTGTATATCCCCGTTGTCAACGTAGTGCATAGCAATAGTAAAAATGTATCTTGATTCATTCTAGTGGTTATTTTGGGGAAAACGGGTGGGGGGCATTTTACCCCAGGGGGGCATTTTCCCCCACTCTACCCTACACAATTAAAGCCCACAGTATAGCCTATTTCAGTTTTTATGCGTACACCTCGTCACCAGAGGTATGCAGCCCGATATAAGTCTCCCAAACTGTGAAAGAGCAACCTCTGGGCAATAAAATGTTCTCCTGGCAAGAAACGTAGATGAGCATGCCTCGACAAAACACTCTTTGTACTGTGTCAAACTAGAACTGGAGAGTATATTCAAATGAAATGAATGACGCAATCAGGATGTGTGCTCAGTAGGGTACATGTGAAATAACCCTGTAAAGTGTTCAGTAAAGTCTCCACTCTGCAGGGCATCTCCTCTCTCTCTTCAGCCACTGAAAGACGGTAATAATGGCAACCAGCCCAGCCAGAAGGAGAAGAAACACTGTGTCAAAGCTGTGCTGTCACTATGACAACCATACAACAATATAACTTGTGTAACATTGCAGACTATATGCAAATGACAGATGAATCAGTGTTTATTTAGATGCACAAAGTATTTTTTGGCTGAAGCCACAGTGGTTTTGTATTTTCTGAAGGTGTTTGGCACACCCCAACCTTTAAGTGAAAAAAAAGCACTTAGTTAATACATGCATTTATGTTCAAATGTCTTACCTGTTTGGTTCAATTACATGCACACAGGGCTGTCAGTAAAACCCCTGACCAGTGAACACTGGACCAATGTACTGAGTGATGCAGAAAACACCTGATCCACGCTGCCTGAACAACACAACAAAAGGTAACCTTCTAACAAAAGATTACCTCTGATGGTCTCAGGTTGTAAAAGCTCTTTGAGAATCTTTAATTTTAGCCCACTTGCCTTCCATTGGTCATCTGCATCTCGGTGTTGTTGCTGATGACAGCTGAGGATGAAGCTGAGATAGAGCTTCCTCCGAGGACAAGCCGGGTTGTCTCTAATAAGAGAGATATATTACAGAAACTGATTTGCATGCAAATCGTCTCCAGTGAGCTGAAATACATCAAGCATCAGTGAGTACACAATCTTTGAGCTATGATCGTTGGAATGGGTTTTTTGTCAGTATGACCCTTGAATCAATAATAACGTTTATGCAAATTCTTTCAAGAGGTCATATGCAATCTCTAAATTCGAAATACTTAATGTAAAGTTAGAAATTGTGAACTTTAAATATTCCAATATATCGATTTATACAGTGCCACATGCAGTAAAATAAAATATATTTTAACAAAGTTACGAATTTGCATATGAGTTTGCAGTCTGAATTGAATGTAATGAAAATGTAAGAGGATTCTTTTAAAAAAGGCTCCTGATTATGTTACCCGATTTAATCAGTCTGATAATTTGAATCACATTCTGAATGGCAAGCTATAGTTACTTTCAGCGATGTCCATCTCAAAACAATGCAAGGTTCATGAAATATATATCATGGTTGTTTGTATGAATTACCTCAAAAATTAATATCTGAATTAACTATGCGTTTAAATTGAGTACATCCTAAGCAGAAAGTAAAATGCTAAGCTTTTTTATGATAATAACATTTTAAATTTAATTAAAAATGTGAATACTTTTATTTGCAAATTTTTTTTATGCTAAGCTTTGGAAAATGTTTATTTTCAGTAGTTTATGTAATAACTTTTTTCTTAAAATTGAGTTGATAGTGATATCTTTATTCACCATATTTTGTGCATATTGTAATATATTTTTTTGCTCATATCACTGAGCCTTAGAAGACTTGTATATGTATATTAACTGTATTTCTTGCATAGTAACCATGATTTAAACTGTGACATTTCTATTAAGTAACCATAAGTAACAATAGATGGCTCCTCATTACCATGTTCAAATCTTTATCTACCAAACTGGTACTTGCTATGAAAGCATAACTGAAATGATCTCCCTCCCTATATGAATCCTCAATGTTACCACTATACCATGCGTTCAGTTTTACTGTACATTTTCAAAAGTGTCAAATATTTGTTGTAGAAAATATAATATTATCACTATTCTATTCATTTTAGTGAAAATATTGCTTCTGTACTCACTGACTCAAAGCTATCCTTCATAAAAGCTCTCATTGTGAGCACTGAAGGGCACTATGCTGGTTTCTTACATCTTTGTGTGTGTTTGTGCAGGATATGGCTGGGTGGATGCTGCCACCAGCACATGTTCTCAGACATGCCAACTGACTGTCATCTGTCAGATACAGAGAACTGAAATCCTCTCCATGCAAACAATTAAATATTCAGTGCAGTCTCATGTGCAAGTTATTCAGTTCTGAGACGCAGACGCTCTCTTTAAAATGAATTAATCAAGCTGCACTAAGTCAAGAGGCAGAGAGATTATGTGACCATGTGCGTTTATTAAATGTCGTGTCATCTGAATCAGAGCGGACGTGACCAACATGCACAGCTGCAACAAGCGCTCTTAATAAGGGCCATGTTGTTGGTTTCACACAAACTACCATAGGATAAAAGCATGTGCCCAAATTTAAGATTTATGATTAAATATACTTCATAAATTGTTATATATATATATATATATATATATATATATATATATATATATATATATATATATATATATATATACACAGTATATATTTTTTAAATGTATGAATACAAAACACATCAACTAAATGGTCCAATCAATTATAATAATAAGAATAACAATAGCAAGTTACTAGCATGGTTTAACATGTTTTGCATGACTTGGCACATTGCTAGCATGAATTAACATGTTGCTGACAAGTTTTAGCATGTTGCTAACATGATTTATCATAGCCCTACTCTTAGAATTAGCATGTTGCTAACATGTTTTAGCACATTGCTTGAATGATTTAGCCATGCTGCCAGCATGTTTTACATTGCATGTTTTACATTTCATATTTTTTGCAAGTATGTTTTAACACGTTGTTAGCATGAATTAGCATGTTGCTGGCATGTTTTAGCATGTCCTAGTTGCTAGGCTTTGCTAGTGATAGATACTTGGTGGATGTGAAGCTACTCTATTAGAGTATAAACATTTTGATCCCCTCAATGAAATTCTATGGGAGTTTTCATAGTTTTGATACGAAAACCTAAGTCCAATCAGTTAGAAAAGATATAGCAAGCCGAGTCAGAACAGTCTGAAGGTCTGACCTGAGTTTGGTGGGTGTAGCTTTAAAGCTATAGGAGGAGATACTGACTTAATTTATTCTCAGAAGAAGAAGAGAAGAAGAAGATGATGAAGAAGAAGAAGAAGCTTAAATAGGATTTCAGTTTGCTGGCTTTGTCAAGCCAACATAAGAACATCAATTCATTTTGTTGCGCATTATATTTCCTTATATCTCGGCCATTTGAAAAATTGAATCAAAAGCATGTGATGTTCTGATCTGGTCACTGCTTTTCTGCTCTCTTTAATTTTCTCTTTTTTCTTTTCTCTCACTCACTTTCTCTCTCTCTCCTTCCCCCTCCACTGCACAGCTGTACTGGCAGACACACATATTCTCTCCGTTTCTCTATCAACATTGTGCTTCCTCAGTTTTTCACTCAATGTTTTTTGTCGCTCCAGTTTTTCTGCGCTGAAGGCTGTACTCATCGTCCTTCTACAGATTATTCTTCTCATTCACCCTCTCCATTCTACATCTCCATCATTCTTTTTTAATAATCTTTTCATCTTTTTCCATTTGTGCTCATCCTTTCCCATCCCTTTTTTTCTCTTCCCTCTTTCTTGTCTTCATCCTGGTCTCATCTCCACTTCACTGCCTGTTATTTTCTCTTCTGTTCTTTCTTCAATGGAGGCTGAGGCTCTTTACAGTTTCAGAGCGAGTGAATGTGATGAACTCAGTTTCCAGAAGGGTGACATCCTGAAGGTGAGTCTGAGTGTGTATGTGTGCATGCAATAGTTCACTGTGAACACTAGTATGATACTACAAAGATTATAGTCTGCATGCTGAAATTTGCAGAAAATACTTGATCAGTGTGTGCATCAGTGTTCTAGCATCTATTTCAGATTGGATATCTGAATGAATAGGTGGTGGGTTATGTAGCTGGGCAGATTGTGGGAGGGTACAGTGCAAGATAATTCTTTACCCCGGTTTCACAGACAAGGCTTAAGCCTAGTCTCAGACTAAAATGCATATTTGAGCTGTTTTAACTGAACAACTTGCACTGGCATATCTTAAAATATGTCACTGCCATTGTTTTGTCTCAAGATGCACACCAGTAATTATTTTTCTAAGGCATGTTAATAAAAGCTAATTTTAATTGAATTTAATTCGAATTGAACTAAGGCCTAATCCTGGCTTAATCTAAGCCCTGTCTGTGAAACCGGGCTATTCTCTACTTTATAATTAGAAATCTATTAGGGAAAATTTTTAAATATTTCTCAGGGTAGACTGTATGTTAACTAGTCAGTAAAACACTACACCAGTCAGTCATTTGTTTATGCGTTATTTGAACTTAAGCGGAAAACTGGTCATTTGCATTGTTTTGCAAACTGTTTTTTTTTTTTTTTTTTTTTTTTTATTACCAAATTTGTTATCTGGGGCTGTTACATAGTTACATGATACTTGAAAAGTCGTTTAAATTACCACTAAGCAAATAGTTATTCTCTAACCTAGGATGATATTGGACATCTCAACATTGATGCTTATTTTAGGTGACAAACATGGACGACGATCCAAACTGGTACACAGCTGAGCTGTTGGGTAGGCGGGGCTATGTACCGAAGAACTATATCAATGTAAGACCTCACACGTAAGTATCACGTGACCAAAGTCAATCTAACTTAGCATGTGACATTATCTGTGAATGACAAAATTCATCAAGATGTTTTGGGAAAACTTTGCAGTCATCTTCTGTTCTGTTCTTGTAACTCATAATTAATATAAATAAATGCTGTAGTAATCGTCTTGTTCAGTTTAATTAATTAAATTGAGCTAAAGTAACACGATTTCTCACAACTTAATTCAATCCACCTAATAGGCCTATATTTAAAACTGAAGTTTACTTAATCCGCATGAGTCATTTTTTGTTGACATAACTAGAAACTGGGCTGTGTATCTGTAGTTCCCAGCATGCTTTGCATTGGACTGCACTAATAGAGTAAATCTAGGGATAAAGTGATATTTTATGTGTTATTCAGTAAAGGGAAAACCATGTTAGTGTTTAATGTCTTTTTTGTTCTCATTTGTAAGTCGCTTTGGATAAAAGCGTCTGCTAAATGAATAAATGTAAATGTAAAAGTTCAGTTATGTTGGACATTTAGAAGAGTTTCTAGCGGTTTATGTTTCACACTTCAGTTAACTTCAGTTAGTGAGCAGTGATGCTCCTTAGTTTTTCAAGGTGTATTGTGGGTCTTTTTAGGGAGTGAACATTTCTGTGCCCTGGAAAGATTTTGCGATTGAGACTGCCCTTAAAATGACAGACTTCCTGATCAATGCACTGACTTTTGAATATAAAGCTGATTGAGATACACCATAAGTAAGGGTCATTTCTTTTAGTCATGATATCACTAGTAGTTTGTGCTCCAGAAGGTATTTGATAGGTGTTGTTTCTCTGTGGTTCTGAATGTTGTATTTGTGATGTGCAAGGTGGTGGATGACAATTGCATCAGTCCTGACCTTGGAATGGTGCTGTTGGATGCACAGCCAGAGCTTTAGGGTTGGGTGTAGGATTATATGTATTTTACAATTGATATGATTTGTCCAGACTAGAAAAAAAAGAAACATTCCTCTGTACAAATGGAGGGATTTCCCAGCATTACACCTCACTGTGATGTCATACAATTTACAAATTTCTGTGGGTGTGGCCTTCCCGTTGGTGTGACTATTGTTGAAACTGCTAGGTCAGGACATTGCTAGATAAGGACTTCCTTACCCTGCAGTTTTACCATGATGCGGATTATTGAAATTCTTGTGAGACAGTGAGGATTAGCAGAAATCAAAGACCAGACCAAAGCCCTTCAAACATGCTGTGGCTTGACCTGAAAAGAGCAGTTTATGACTGGTAGGTATGACCTACCAGTAATTTTGAACTGAAAGGATGAGTCAGTTAATATTCATGATCGTAATGAAAAAGAGGACTGAATGAGATCAAACATTGGCTTACGGTCAATGCAACTCAAAGCAAAGACGACAGAACACTTGCGCACAGTGAAACATGTTGTTTCCTATACCCTATATCATGCAAACACTCACATTTCTAAAAATCTGAAAACATGATGAAAACAATGCATGTACTTCTTAACACTGAAGGAATTTTGTGAACAAATTGTTCTGGAAATAAAAAAAAAATCTGAAATTTTATTATAATTTTTTTGTGATGAATAAAAATAAACATATCTATACATATACTGCATATACTGTATATATATATATATATATATATTTACAGATTTCAAAAAGTAACCATAACCATAATTGTAATAATAATTTGGCATTTCTATAGATTAAATTCCCAGAGAATGCATGAACTGATAAAATGTACTTCTTAAATGCAATTTAAAAAGTAAAAAAAATGCAAAATGCATACATTTAAATTTAATAATTGCCTATTTAGATCAAGTCTTACTTGAAAGTTACTTGAGTTCGGTGCAGATTATTCCCTTTATTTACAAGATTTTAAATTATTCAAAATTATATGCTTCATCTAATGTATTTTCCATGAAATGTACATGGAGAGCAAAGTGCTTGAGAAAAAACTCAATGACATCACAATCCAATAACATACTAAACGTGACAACACAATAAAAAAAATAAAAAACTTGCAAATGGTCCAACAGTACGACCATATTAATTATTCATAGCCTGGTGCATGCTGGGAAGAGGTAGACTGAGACTGAACAACAGGTGCATTTGTCAGTGTAGGCCATAGTTTGAGCTAAAAAAAATCTGGCTAGACTTAAAACATTGAATTGCTTCTGTTCTCTTCTACAAAGCTGTTCTACAATAATCAAGTAAATCTTTTCTTGAGCATTTTTTTGCCTGATCAAAGAACCCCCTTTTTTAAAGTAAACTACTATACCAGTAGCCCCCTTTCAGTTTATAAATATACAATACGATGTATTGTGACGGATGAGCTTGTATTTTGCAGGTGGTTTGTGGGTGGAATATCACGGCAGGCTGCAGAAAACCGCCTGAGACCGCTGGAGTGTGGAGCATTTCTCATTAGGGAGAGCGAGAGCACACCGGGAGAGTTCTCTGTGTCTGTCAGGTCAGATACACCCTACAAATGAAACCTACGTTCACTGCTCGCCTCTACCACACACATGTACACTTCATATAAAGGCTTGATATTATTATTCCCTGCATGTGTTGATGTCTACAGCCGACATGAGTGTGCTTGCATGTGTGTGTGTGTGTGTGTGTGTGTGTTAATGTGTGTCCTTGTTACTCTATCTGGCTCTTCATTAATACACTCTAATTAGAGTGGAGTGCATGGTAGCGTTTTGCTGTGATGTAATCCTTTTGCTCCCAGCACTCCAGAACCTATTTAAACAGTTCAGAGTTCTCTTGGTGGAAATGGAAACCTTTTAAATATACCAAGCAAAAAGTACTTTTTATAACACTTTGTGTTATACATGCACATAACACATACAAGTGATTTATGCATGTACTGCATGTATATACACAGTTCAGATTGCTAGATTATTGCTAGATGTTCTGGGGGTCACTTGCTCAATTCAAAAGAGCCTATTAAAGGGATAGTTCACTTTGAAATTAATTTTTGATATGTTTTAGCTTACCTCAAGGGCATCCAAGATCTAGGTGTCTTTGTTTCCACAGTATTTTCAATTCTGATATTTTTAGGTCAAACCGTTCTTGTCTGTCAGTCATTTAATGCAGGTCTATGGTCACCACCTCAAAGAGCATGCACAGAGAAGTCCAAATTAAACATGATTTAATGACTCGTAAATGTAATTACACATTGATGGCCTAAGACACGAAACGAGCGGTTTGTGTGAGAAAACGAACAGTATTTATATCGTTTTTACCGCTTGTAAACACAGCCACGTCCAAGTGATCATTCTGAGGTCGCGGGCGCTTCGGTCTTTTCCGGAAAGCGCCGGAAGTGATCTCTCGCGCGTATACGTCCCTCATTGTTTACACAGAACAGAGATTGTAGGTAAGACGGCTAATTAAAAGGGTACTAATTTGCGCTTATCTGGGATGTTTAAACCGTCGTAAAAGAAAACAATAAAAACAATAAAAAAAAATAAAACAATTGTATGAGTGACGTACACGCGCGAGAGATCACTTCCGGCGCTTGCCGGAAAAGACTGAAGTGCCCGCGCTCTTAGAACACTTGGACGTGGCTGTGTTTACAAGAGGTAAAAACAAAATAAATACTGTTCGTTTTCTCACACAAACCGCTCGTTTCGTGTCTTAGGCCATCAATGTGTACTTACATTTACGAGTCATTAAATCATGTTTAATTTGGACTTCTCTGTGCATGCTCTTTGAGGTGGTGACCATAGACTTGCATTGTATGACTGACAGACAAGAACGGTTTGACCTAAAAATATCAAAATTGAAAATACTGTGGACACAAAGACACCTAGATCTTGGATGCCCTTGAGGTAAGCTAAAACATATCAAAAATTAATTTCAAAGTGAACTATCCCTTTAAAGTCAGCATGAAATAGAAGTTTAGAGTCTTTTCTTCCCTATTGTGACGTATATCCGAGTGAAACGGCTTCATGAACAAGAAAAAAAATGTAGGGTGGGGCTTGATTTTGTCCATGGGGAATTGATTGGATCTTTAAATGGTCGTGGTTTGCTATTGGTCGATCTCATGTGAGTGACATGTTGCCCCGCCTTCTCGCCAGTAAACACGTCGTCAGAGAAGAGAAGAGTTTGTTGCTGCAGGGAAGGGGAAGTTATTTTCATTAAAGATTATGAGGGCACATGAATTTAAAAAGAAAAATTATGTGCACTGATAAAAATAAAAAAAACGCACTGCATTAATATGATATTGTGAACTTTAGATGTGACTGAAGGTACGTTTACACGACAACGATGTACTAAAAAAGGAAACGTTTTTCCTTTGTGTTTTTCGCATACGTACTGCATTATGCTGCCAGGCCAGTAGTTGATGATGTCACTTTGTAAAGAAAAATAGACTGAACACGTAATACACATGTGCATGACTTCACCGTTTTCACAAATTCACATTTTTGTAGTTTACACTTTGAAACCAGTTTTCAAAAGTTAGCATTTTCAGGCACCCAAAACGCCATTGGCGTGTAAATGGACAACCACAATGTATACAATTCTTTCAGTTTTTAGTTGAAAACAGTATCATGTAAACGACCCCTTAATGGGACATCTCACCCATTTGATTGCTCACTAGTTTTGCTTAAAGGTAATAGGCTGCATGATTTCAGATATCATTCATTGTTGGGGGGTTGTTCATGTCAATAATAGTAATGTTTGTCTTTGCATCAACACCTTTTCTTTTCTTCTTTTATTTACAGCTCACAGCTCATGGTAGAACTCTATTGAATAAGTTGGCGTGCGTTGGGAAGGTGGACATGCATGAATTATTTTTAGATCACTTTGCTTTACACCTCTAAAGGCCTGACCCAAAACGTCAAATTCTACTGAGACAAAGAGAAGGAAATTGAAAGAGAAATCGAGGGATAGTTGCAACACAATTGCAGCACAATGAATCCAATCTAGTCACATATTATTAGCATAGTGCCTCTTAACAAGCTTGAGTACTTGAGGCCAGCACAGATGTTTCTGTGTTTTTACATGTGTGTGATGGAGAGGGAGGGAGAAAGCAAGGAAGAAAAGAGAGGGAAAGACAGAAAGATATAGTAATAATAATCATTTATATTTTTTAGGTAAATCAACCTTTACAGACCTATACAGTGACATTTAGTAACCTTTAGTTTAGGAGCTCTAACTAACATGAATGCTTAACACACTCTCAGAAAAAAGGTACAAAAAGCTGTCACTGGGTGAGGACAATTTCAAAAGGTACACCTTTGTACCTAATAGTACCTCAAAGATACATATTGGTGCCAAAAGTGATTATATTAGTACCTAAATGGTACATTTTAGAACCTTTTTAAAAGGTTCCTCCCCAGTGACAGCTTTTGTACCACTTTTTTCTTTGAGTGCATATCATTTGCAAATGTTCGTTCAAATAGTCAGAAAAGTCATGAAATTTAAGAAAATGTTTATATATGTCGACAGACCTCCTGGACTACGTCATGGATCCCCAGGGAATGTGCTCAGTAGCTGATGAACAGCTGTTTTGTGGTATAGTTATTAAATTATTGTGTAATTTAGCACAGCTGGAATGGTGTATTGACTAGTCATCATTCAGGAATGAGCTGAACTATACATACATACAAACATACATACAGTACCGGTCAAAAGTTTGGACACATTGCTATTTTTAATGTTTTTGAAAGAAGTCTCTTCTGCTCATCAAGCCTTATTTGATCAAAAATACAGGGAAACAAATATTATTACAATTTAAAATAATGGTTTTCTATTTTAATATGCTTAAAATATAAATTATTTCTGTGATGCAAAGCTGAATTTTCATCAGCCATTATTGTCACATGATCCTTCAGAAATCATTCTAATAGGCTGATTAATACTCGGTTATTATCAAAGTTGGAAAAAGTTGTGCTGCTTAAGTATGAAAAAAAATATAACAGGTTATAAAAAAATATCAAGCAGCACAAACGTTTCCAACATTAATAATAAATCAGCATATTAGAATGATTTCTGAAGTATCATGTGACACTGAAGACTGATGATAAGCTGAATATTCAGCATTATTACTCCACAGGATTTTTTTTATTTTAAAATATTACAAATAGAAAATAGTTATTTTAAATTGTATTAATATTTCAAAATATAAAAATGTTTACTGCATTTTTTTATCAAATAAATGCACCCTCGGTGAGCATAAGAGACTTTCAAAAACAGTAAAAAATCTGAGGACTACACTATACTGAACCTATAGATAGAGAATGACAAAACGGGTCAGTTGTTTTGGGCCAATCACAATAAAAGCTTAATGTAAACAGAAAGCACAATGCTACACAAAAACGAGAAAATTCATGTGAGACTGTTTATGTTGGAGCTTGTGTCTAAGAATTGTTAATGTTGGGTCATATGTAATGACTTCGATTATAATGACTTATAATGTCTTACTCTCCCTAAACATGCCCTGTTGTTTTGATGATCTTTAGTACAATTCTCTCTCTCTCTCTCTCTCTCACACACACACACACACACAAATCCACATCCCAGAGACAGTTCCTCATTCTGTCACCGTTTCTGTCTGAACAAGCAAAGTGATCCATGCAGGATTGCGTGGACTGATATGGATCTGTGTGTGAGTAACACCCACACAGGTTAAGAGCAGGTGTGGTAGGGTGGATCCATCAGGTGATTAAAGACACATGCCGCAGGCGCAGGGTGTGTGTCAGTGTTTGCATGTTTCTCAGTAAACCAGAAACAATTAAGAGCATGTTCAAATCAGAATTATTTACAACAAATTTATTAAAAATAAGATGAATCATTTGTAAAAAAAAAATATATATACATTTACCAATTTACAAGGGTTGTGAAAGTCAAAACATATATATTTAAAATAAATTCAAATGCAAGTGATCAAAATGAATTGTAATAAATAAATAATTATAAAAATGATATGTTCTAAAATTAATAATAATTTAGAATATAGACTGAAAGATAGATTGATTTCAGCAATTAAATTCCATTTGCACTGAAGAGTAATTGAGGAACAATTATTGATGATAAATATGTTTATGAAAAACAATTAACACATGTAGTTACAAAATATACTTTTTCACATACTTACTGGACATCCACTGTATTATTGCATCTTAAATGTAAATGCATAAGGATATTGATATTGTATTGTTGCATTTTGTGTGGATTATTGTTTGATTTTTCGGCCTGGTTTCACAGACAAGGCTTCGATTAAAGGTGAGGTAGGCAATTTATGGAGTGGCTAGCAATAGTGAGCTAGCTTTGAAAGCATAAGATCATCTCACCCTCCCTTCAGAGCGTCTCCAAAGCCACGCCTCCTTCAAAACACATGAATGTGTACAGCAGGGAGCAAACAAAAGCTTCATGAGAGACGGTGTTAAACTACAGCATGTCTCAAAGCACATAACATTACAATAATAATGAACATAAACAACTTAAAGAACTCTGACCTGAACCACCTGACTGCTGCAGATTCATTTCGGCGTTGATTGTGTTGCCATTGAAGCGCATAAGTTCGAGTCACGAACCGCTCTGAGTATAACGTCACAGGTTTCCATCTCTTCCAAATTACAGTAGTTATGGTGTGAACGCAGCATAAGTTTATTGTTTTGGATCAGGAGGAACTGTAAAAGGTGGCTGCTGATTCGTTTGCGGTGCTCAGTGACTGATGATGTCTGCGTGAGCTGACAGGCAGGAAGGACATCGTATCACTGCATTCAGACCGAATGGCATGGTCCTGTGCCTTCCACAGATGATATATATATATATATATATATACAGTATATATATATATATATATATACATACATATAAATATCTTTATACCACTTAACTTTGTGATTGCTATCAGGATGTGAAGAGACTTGCAACCAGCATAACAAAAAAAAAAAATTCTGGAACAAATCACATACCCTGCCTTTAAGCTAGTATTAGGCTTTAGTTAATTAATACATTTAAGCTGCTTTTATAAACGTGTTTTAGAAAAAAAAAAAACATTACTGGTGTGCATCTTGAGACAAAACAATGGCACTGACAAGTTGCTTTTAGTTAAAACAGCTCAAACATGCATTTTAGTCCAGGACTAGGCTCAAGCCTTGTCTGTGAAACTGGGGGAAAGTGTATTTATTAGTACGCTGTTGAATGTACTGTAATGAACATTTTATCTGAGAGGAATACTGTAATGTATCTGCAGGAGAATAAGCACAGACTTGTTCAGAGCCTAATTTGATTACAGTTATTAACACTGTGCTTCTTCTGAATCATTGTGATTCAAAAACTTGCTGAGAGTTGAAATGTCAAACTGTGATTTATTGGGCAAAACCTTTAATCATACACTCTCAAGTTCAGATTTAATAAACTGGTAAGTCCAGGCAAGATCTACCCCTTAATCTAGAAGCAACAACCCTCTCTCTCTCTCTCTCTCTCTCTCTCTCTCTCTCTCTCTAGTTACGGGGACCACGTGCAGCACTTTAGGGTTTTGAAGGATGGATTAGGGCAGTACTTCATATGGGATGAAGTCTTCAGCTCCCTCAACCAGCTGGTGGACTTCTACAGAATCAACAGCATTGCCAAAGAGAGGACCGTCTTCCTGCAAGAGCCCGAGGGATCATTAGCTGTAAGAGCCTTACTGAGGTGCCAAAGTTCAACTCTGGTGAACTCTGATCTGCAAATTTGCAAAGCGAAAGGATGTTTGACCAATAGAGGATCTCTTGGCTCAATGCAAACCTCTTTAGCTTGAGCGTGACATCATATCCTGTTACAAGCTCTAACGAGGCATGCGTAGAGCCAAATGTGACCCCTCCTTTTATCAATATCATTGCTGATTTTCTATGGGAATCCTTTTGAACTTTAGAGGTATTTTATTTCTTTTTATTTCTCATAAATTGCAACTATATATCTCACAATTGTGGCAGCTATTTCTCACAGTCGTAATTCATTTTTTATGTAACTGTGACTGTGCTAAATTTCTATTTTATTTCTTCCAATTGTGACTTTTGTGACTATTTCTGATAGACTATTTCTTTCTCATAAATTCAAATTAAATTTATTTTGCTACTTTAATTGCAACTTTATTTTTCAGTCGTGGCTTTATATCTCACAATTGACTTTCTCGTCATTTTAAGACTTTTTGTAATTGCAAATTTTTCTCATAGTTGTGACTATTGCAACTATTTCTCTTACATTTTGATTGTATTTCTTTGTAACTGTGACTTTCTTACATTTGAGACGATTTCTGGAAGTCGTAACTTTATATCTAACAATTTAGGCATGTTTTTCACAATTGTGAGACTTCTTTCTCCTAATTGCAACTTTATTCCTCCAACATTTTGATATTATTTCTTTATTTCTCACATTTGTGGCATGTTTTTCATAATTTCTCGTAATTGGAATGCATTTCCCGTAATTTTGTGTGTGTGTGTTTCAGAGGCCACGCCATGCCCATGCCCTCTTCGACTTCACATCTCATCATGCGACTCATCTACGTTTCCTGCGCGGTGATGTCATTGATGTGCTGGACTGTTCGGACGCTCAGTGCTGGAGGGGGCGGTGCCGGGGAAGAGTGGGCGTTTTCCCACCAGAGTATGTGCAGCCAATTTACCACTGAACTTTAGCTATACGTGTCGCTGTCCTGTTCAGCTAAACTCACCTGAATCTGAGCCTGAGACTTACTCATCCATTACACACACTCTCCATAAGTCTGAAGGTGAACTAAGTCAAATGCATCAATGTTTGGTGTATCAGGTGATTAAGGTTTGAATTAAACCTTATGTGTCATGGTCAGCATTTGCCCATCAATCTCTTTGTAAATCATTTTTTAGCAAATCAGGAAGCAATTCTAACTTGTCAACAAACCAGTTTTGTAACACCCTTAAGGATTATAACAGTTGACTATTGAGTGACATTTACTCGCTGATCAGCCATCATCTGAGCTTCCTGTCTATTCTTCTTTCAAATACTTTCAAGTCCTTTCAAATGGAAGGAGTTTTATTGCTCTTAATTAATGTTTTTAATTGATAGACATAAAAAACCATCATTTTTTTTTCACACCTACTATATATTCCCTCTTTTAAAGTGAACATTCATATTAAAGTTGTACATACTTGGAAAATGTTCTTTCTCTTTTTTTTTAGAAACATACATTAATGGCAATTTTGGTGATTTAAAAAATCCAATCCTAGATTGATATTCAGAGACAACGTTAAATAATTTGCACATTGATTTCTTTGTAAACACTGTGGCTTTGTGGTGCTATAAAAACATTTGCTCAGCCAATGGCGTGAGTCTAGGGTTTAGTTAAGACCAGTAACTATATATATATAAAATAATAATTTCCAATACCATATTTTGACAAATCATGGATAAAACTAACAAAAAGGAATTTATGTTGTTAAATAGGCCACTGGAGATGATTATAAAACTGTATAGGATATGCGGAAATTATATGTATTTTTTACATTAAATGAATTGAAGTATTTCTGTACTTCTTATTAGAGAAGAGAGGGTTATTTGATTGTTTTCAGTCACATGTCTGTTCAGGAAGACCTCTGACTGATGTTCCAATGGAAAACAAACGTTGGATCCACCCATGCCATGTGAAAACATTTGGGATTCTATGCCGTTAACGTGATGACCATAAAAAATAAGCAATAATAAGATAATATTATTTTCGGAGTGACCATAATTTAAGTAATTCTTTCTCTATTGATCAGTTTATTTATTACAAGCAATGTAATTTCATTTACATTGACATGTATGATGTGTGAAATGAAAGGTTAAACACTTATTTTTCTCTTTAAGCTCCAACTGCTGTTCATTGATATGCAAAATAGTATATATTAGCAAGCTTTGCTGAAATGTTAATGGTCTGATGTACTGTGATACAATATGAGTCAGCCAAACTGCTGACTCGTATTTACACCTATAAATTGCCTGGACGCATTTAATACATGATAGACATTTTAACTGTATACGTTTTGTAGAAATACAGCAATCAGGTGTAATATTGCGTAAAAAAATGTAAGGATGTATTTCATGAGCAGATATTGTCTCTATGACCTTTCAACTCAAGGGAAAAAATAAACTTTTATCTACTAAATGTATTATTTGTTCTTGCCGTTCACATTTATATTCTATAAAGGAGCATTAAACCCTTAAATTAGATCATCCATCTGTACGTCTATGATTCATTCCCACACAAACACCCCAAACCCAACGCACTAGGTTTACACATTGCTTCATAATTTTAATGTATCAATTTTTCATTTGCACATTAACAATAAAACAATATAAATTAAGAGAAAACTAAAAAGTTAAATATATAGACAGTCACAAATATTCAAGTTAATGTTTCATGTAACCCACCCTGATTTTCATTTACAAACTGTTCTTACAACCATATAATATAGGCTATTCTCACGCTATTGTTGAAATAATTATTTAGACACAAATTACACAGTCATTGATGTGCTGTACAGAACATTACAGTTTAATCACTGTTCATTTATTTCAAAGAAGAAATACTGCAGTTAAACTTACACCCATTTCTTTGGGAGTATCTAGTAATGAGTTTTTTTTTGTCCCAGTTAATGTGAACATATTTATCAAACATAAGATCTTACTTTATGCATAGCATATTGCCTTGCAACATGCACTGTGAGAAAACTCATGGTAACTTCTTTTTTTCCCCTATTCTCAAAGGTAAATGTACACAGCGCCGCCGCTCCCACCACGCGCATCACGCGCTGTGCGTAGGGCACCAAGTGCTGAGGGGGCACTAAAAATAGCCTAATGAAAAACCAATCATCAAACTTCTTGTTATAATCAGATTCAGCGCGTTCTTCCTCTTCATTCCGCAGCGGCGCCGAGCAGAGACAGAGAGCACGTCAGAAACACAGGACAGGGTGTGTGTGGGTGTGTGTGTCCATGTGTGTGTTCATCTGAGCCTCATTGGTCTGTCACTGCTCGTCAATGTCAGAATATTTGAGATGACCAATCAAATCAAAGTAGGCGGGCTTTATGTTCACAGACGCTGAGCGCGAATTTCAACAGTGCAACTCGACGCTTCAGTGTACGGTCAAGTGCGAGATAAGATGTAAGTAGCTAAACTTAACTTTATTTGACAGTTTTTTTTAGGTCATAAATGTTAAACGAATGACAAAAAATAATTAGGCAAACTAATATAGTTTTGTCTAATTTCGCCATTTTGAACTGAAAATAGGCCTATTTAACATGTAGCCTAGTGTAATAGTTTAGGCTACTGTCATTGTGAGGGGACAAGAAACATGAACAAAGCCGTTTTCATCATGTTAGGCACAGGATTTATAATGAATGTGTACATATTGAGAATAAAATACAAATTGTAACCTTTAGTAAATTAAAAAAGCCAACTTTAGGAGGGGGAGAGACAGGGCAAGATAAAAACAAAGAGAAAAAGAGTGTGATGCTGATGAGGAGAGAAAAATAATCAGCTGCCCACTGACATGGTTTTAAAGCTGTTGTTATCGATTTTTTTTTTTTGCCTTCACAACATCTTAAAATGCACATCTGTAGTTCAGAAAAATCCAAAATTTCCCCCGAACACCCCTAACTAACCTGCCTCAAATTCGGGATCCCAGTGATTATAAAACCATGCCATTGCATGGTAATGAAACTAGTTAATAGTAAGCATTAGACCCTAATCTAAAGTGTTACTTTTTAGCTTTTTAATTTTTTTATAAATCATACCCTCATTGGGGGCTTAGCCCCCCTAAATGAAAATGTTTTTTTTTTAGGGGGGGGCGGGGGGGCATCATAAAGGAATTATGCTTAGGGCACCAAAATGGCTAGCAGCGGCACTGAATGTACAATTGTTTAACATATGCATTATATGAAAAGGTAACTGAACAACTATTAATTAGTAATTTGTATATATATATATATTAGGTGATGCACTTATATTATAATGACAAAAAAACTGATGTGCGTGACTGTTAGCTTGAGTACGTTACGCATAGTAAGCATAGAGGAAGATGTTAATGCACACGAGAATGATGGCATTGACGCAGCAGAAGCGAGACCAGAAGGGATCTTCTCTGATGCTGTGAATGATGGGAGATGAATTCCCAGACACAATTCGGCCAGGTCGGGGACTACAGAACCCAGCGGTGCGCACACACTTACCCCTGCGCACAGACTCACAGCCTAGATTGAAACAAAAATGTTGGCTGTGAAATGAACTGCCAAAGGAGCGGTACAGTGATAGTATCAGATGGTATGCTTTTGATGTTTCATCATGATTACCATATTCATAAACTATGGGATTTACATGGCAGCTTTAAAGGGTTTACTTTATAGCTGATTCAACTTTGTTTCATAATTGACGAATTAACACTGAATCAACATGGAACTGACTCGAACTGTAAAATGATACTATTGTTCTGCTGTAGAGCTGCTTGTAGCTGAATTTCACGATTGATGAACTTTATTCAACTGAACTGATTTGATCTGATTAATGTCACTATTGTCTTCTGTAGAGCTGCTTTACAGCAGAATTTGAATTTGTCTCATATTTGATGAAGTGTGCATTTTTGATTGATTTTTTCCTGTATATTGCTGTGATGATGCTTTGAAAGAATCTTGTATAAAGTGCTATAAATAAAGGTGACTTGACTTGACATGATATTCTAAGGTTCTTGTAAGAATACCAAGGTATTATCATGGTACAATTTAAAAATCCATGGACATTTTTTATGCTTAAAAACTGAATGAAATGACATATTGCATGATTGCATATAACTTAAGCCTTCCAGTTTTCAAATGTTGTGCTTGGTAACATAATCCACCTTATGCATTAAGCTTACTTACATTCCAAACCAAGAAAATGACAATTGGTATTTTTCTCAGTTCCTTGTGTGTGTTCCCACGCATATAATAATCTTTTGTTTTGCCAACTGATACATAAATGTAGAACACCACCACACCCTGATGAATAGACCGCAACAAACCTCATGAGATCGATCATACTGTAAACTCCTCTCACACCTCCATTCTGTCTCAGGAAGCAGGATTAGTTTGTGTGTGTCCAGGTTTATCTAAACTTGTGATGTCAAAAATCTCCTCACTACTCAAAAATGGACCTCACTAGGTTAAAAGGCTTATAAATTTGCCAAATCATGTTTATATTCGAATCTAATATTTTGCACAGGTTTCGAGTTTATATCAGAAATTATATAAAAACAATTGAAGTCTATGAGATGCCCTCACTAATATAGTCGAACAAACGTATGTACGTACTTATGTGTGTGTGTGTGTGTGTGTGTGGTCCTGGTAAACCCTACAGTATTTCCCCTCAAAATTTCCCCTCAAAGATGGCAATGTCCAAAATCCATTTCCATTTTTTGGTCCCAATGAGGAAAACGGCTTATAAATCATGCTAAGTGGTGTTTTTTGAAAATTTTAAAATGCAGAAAGTTATCTGTGATGGGTAGGGTTAGTGTAAGGGGATAGAATACACTTCGTACAAAAATCATTATGTCAATCGAATGTCCCCATAAAACATGATAACCCAATGTGTGTGTGTGTGTGTGTGTGTTTCGTACCATCTGTCCTGCGGCTGAGTGTAGTTACTTTCTGTAGAGGTATTTCTCTCTCAGCGCTGTTGTGGAGAGTCCACCAGGTAAGATTATGTATCTGAAACGAAATCAAACACAAGCCAATCTATATGACATGCTGCAAAAATACAACTGGATTTTATTAAATTACTTGATTCTTGATAAAAGACATCAAAATGTATCTTGTATAAGTTATGTTTAGAACAGCATACTACTCTTATTATTTCTACAGTATATTAGGCACAGTACTTTTAATGTATTTATAATTCTGTTTCCTGTAATGCAGGAATCCTGTAATGGAATGCACTTTCCAGTATGACAAAGGAACTGAAAGTAATATCAGGTATGATTTTAAGATCTTTTCTTTACACATTATTTGATTAGACTGTCAAAGTTGAGACAAATTTTCCACAAAATCGTATTAAATGTGCAAAAGAACCATTTTTATATCTGTACTGATATGCCAATTGCAGAATGCATGTAATGAGGTCATGTGACAACAATAAATGTAGCATACTACTGTTTGCATAATGCTGTTTCACATACTGCAGAAAGTACACTACCTTTCAAAAGTTTGGGGTCGGTGTGATTTTTTAAAATAAATGAATACTGACACATCAAATTGATCAAAAGTGACAGAAAGACATTTATGATGTTAGAAATAGTTTTTTATTTCAAATGAGTGCGGCT